ATGTAGTATAATGTAATGTAATGTAGCCATGACGGAGGGGTCAATAACTACAACCACTGCAGCGGGGAGCGTGGGCATTTATCAAAACGTGACCAATCAAAGTATAGGTAAGATAAAACGGTTTAGCAAGTCAGGTTCGAATTTATTGCTGCAAATGTAACTGAAACCAAATTCAGATTGGCAAAATTATAAGATATACCACCAGCCATCGTTCTAAACAACCTGTTTGTCTTCTACTGGAAATCACTCTAACTACCGACCACACACCTATATGTAAATTACCTATATGTATTAACGATTTTCTCATCTTTTTTTAGGATTTTGCCCCAAAATGACAATTTCCCCAAGGTTGATTTTGGTTTAGTTTTCCATGGTGAAGAAGTACCCTATTTGGGGGACATTTAGTCAAACAATTTGCTGGTTATACTAAATGTCCGGGTTTCATACAATTTCTACTGGACTATTTCTGTCAAGCCATTAAATGAAGTATGCATCCCAATGAGCATTAGCTGTCCTTCCCTTATTGCTCATCTGTTTCTTTATGTATATGAATGGGAATTTCTGCTCGGATTGGATCAAACATAAAGTAATCGGACCATGAAGTTTGACTTCAGCTTCAGGTGAATTGGTTATCTTATATCGCCCAATAATTTGTCAAATAGCAAGCTCTCTACCACTGATTTACCGACCTGAACTAGAATTACAAGAGACCGGTTCATATTTAGATTTATGCATGAAGTTCAGATTGACAAAAGAACTCTGCACGAGATTCTGTATGACGTGTGGATGGCTTTCCAACAACCAGCACCCCTGTATGGCAAACACTATTCCAGCAGCTCCAGCCTTTGGTGTTAAAAGGTTATAAATTAATTACAGTCGATCATACTCTTTCTACGGCTTCAAACAGCATCATATGACTTTGAGTTGTGGCCCGTGTCACGTGCAGCCCTCCCTAACGCGTTCCTGGTGGGACTTGATTAAGGTATCCACACCACGCGGCAGGTACGGATTATATTCATTGACCGAGCAATCAATGTCTGTCGAAGCCGGAGGATGCAAATGAGTGTGAAATGTAAACTGCTCCAGTACGATAGCATTCATGTATACTGTTACAGCTTCTAATCTTAGCGAAATGTTCATCATTATTGTATTGTATGAATAAAGTCGAAGACAAACGACCCTGGGTGAGGCCATACTCAGCAATATTCCAGGTCTCCGGCAGTATAACGGTGACTTGTGGTCCTTCAAATCTGGACCACACAATCCAATGACTGATATATATATATTATGAGCAATTATCCAAGTCCACACAGCTGCATCTATGAAAACATGTTTTCTCAATATCTTAAAAGCCTCATTCATCTCCATGTTCCAAGCCGATTGCTCCGCTCATCAAACTCCCTACTGCTTACACAGCCTCACGTCAAAACAGCCTTGGGATCAAGAGCGTTCTCTGCTGCAGCCCCCCTATCTCTGGAACATTCTACCACTCACCCTAAAAGAAATAGAATCTGCTGATGCTTTCAAAACTGCCCTCAAAACTCATCTGTTCAAACTCTCTTTTCCATAGACATTGTCTACAATCTTTTCTCTTCATAGCGCCATTGAGCAATATCTTTTGGAAATAGGCGCTCTACAAATCAATTATTATTAAGTCGTGTGAGTCCGTTACAATGTCACCGCCCATGCTAGCGAGTCTGACCACCCGAACCATTAAGCCACCTCTTCCAGCTAGCACACGTTGCAAGAAACCTGGTCTACCACGACTTCCTACGAGTTCCCCGTTTAGTGGTCAGTGATAGAGTTAGTATGGTTCCACGCCGCTCTAAGCAATATTCCAGCAATATCACGGCGGGGGGACACCAGAAATGGGGGTCACTCAGTGAGATGCTGGGACACATTGTACTTCGGTACCCACGGGAGCATGGGGCATGCGGACATCAGTGGAATGTACTGCATTACCTTCAGTCCAAACAGATCACCTTTTCAATATCTACTTTTAAGCAAAGATCATCTTCATCGACAATGGGTTACTGAATTACTCCAATTCCCCACAGACTAAATATATAGTACAGAGTCACTGTAGCACTGTTCTTGACATTTGATCAGCTGTTTCAACATTTTGCTGTAACCCGAGAGGAATATACAGACCGAGATTATGCCCATTTTGTATGACACCTGTGTTGCAAATGAATTTCAGCAGTTATTAGTCTGTGAGCAGTGAAACACTATGAGCCCTAATTATGTATCAGGATATCTGAGATCGTTATCTGCGACTTACTTCCTTAAAGCCGTGTCCTCTGAGAACAATGATAAGATATACAATACATACATGAACTTGTGTAATGTACCCGCGGACAAGAATGTTTTATAATGATTACACTACGAGCCAGTGGGCTTGTACTGATATAGGGATTCGGATATCACATATACGACGAGGACATAGAGATATAATTTCTGACTTTAGAGGACTTCGAGATGGGATTCGGGGACATACGTTGAGCACTTCCAAAAGGGATTTCTCATATAAGACGTGGACTTCGAAGGGGATTCCAGACATATCGCGATGGGATTTCATATATTCGACAAGGGCTTCGAGATAGGATATCAAATATTCGACAACGGCTTCGAGATTGGCTTTCATATATACAACAAGGGCCTCGAGATGGGCTTTCATATATACACCAAGGGCTTTGAGATGGGCTTTCATATATAAAACATGGACGTCGAGGTGAGCCTTCATATATACACCAAGGGATTTGAGATGGGCTTTCACATATACAACAAGGCTTTGAGATGGGCTTTCATATATACAACAAGGGCTTCGAGATGGGCTTTCATATATAAAACAAGGACGTCGAGATGAGCTTTCATATATACAACAAGGGCTTCGTGATGGGCTTTCACATATACAACAAGGCTTTGAGATGGGCTTTCATATATACAACAAGGGCTTCGAGATGGGCTTTCATATATAAAACAAGGACGTCGAGATGAGCTTTCATATATACACCAAGGGCTTTGAGATGGGCTTTCATATATACGATAAGGACGTCGAGATGGGCTTTCATATATACAAAAAGGGCTTTGAGATGGGCTTTCATATATAAAACAAGGACCTCGAGATGAGCTTTCATATATACACCAAGGGCTTTGAGATGGGCTTTCATATATAAAACATGGACGTCGAGATGAGCTTTCATATATACGATAAGGACGTCGAGATGGGCTTTCATATATACAACAAGGGCTTCGAGATGGGCTTTCATATATACAACAAGGGCTTCGAGATGGGCTTTCACATATACAACAAGGCTTTGAGATGGGCTTTCATATATACAACAAGGGCTTCGAGATGGGCTTTCATATATAAAACAAGGACGTCGAGATGGGCTTTCATATATACACCAAGGGCTTTGAGATGGGCTTTCATATATACGATAAGGACGTCGAGATGGGCTTTCATATGTACAAAAAGGGTTTCGAGATGGGCTTTCATATATATAAATAGGGAGTCGAGGTGGGCTTTCACATATACAAAAAGGGCTTCGAGATGGGCTTACATATATACGATAAGGACATCGAGATGGGCTTTTACATATACAAGGACGTCGAGATGGGCTTTCATATATACGACCTCGACGTCTTGATGGGATTTATTGATATACCGTAGACTTCGAGAGGGGGATGAGGGTGTGGCATACACCATTAGTTAGAAGTGGACATATTGACAACATAACAACGTAAAGTGTAAACTGAAGGATATGTCTGTCCGTGCCAGGAGAAGACTCCTTCAGAACAAAGGCAACATGGTGGAAAACATTATTGATGTACGGAAACGCATGAGTACAACTGGTTGTGACCGACAGGAAGCGACTGTCGTTGTCTGGATGCTCCATATAAGGACATATAAAATCCGTTTAATCAACCTGTTTACTAATGGTCTTAAGCAGCCCTGGCAAGTAAGCTTTTGATATGTTAATAATGGCGTGTGACGGTACTGGTGTGGGTATAACTATATGCGGGTGTGGCTGTATTATTAACAACCAAAAGACAGATGTGTTTGTTTCGTGGTCAATAACAGTACATTAGTGTTGCTCTTATGAATGGGAGAACATCGAACAAGCTTTTTCAAGCTGCACCTGTTTCGGGTGAAGAAAAAATGACATACATTGACTTACATTGACTTACATTGATCATACTGGATAAAACAACTAATAGTTATTTTATTATGGAAGGTCAGTTCAGATGAAAGATTACTATCTTGCGATATAATAAGTAATAATAAATGAATATATATAACGCGCCTATTCCACACCCTAAGGCTTGCCTAAGGCGATACAGAATATTTACGCTATTATTATCCTGGATAACCTAAGCTGCCTGTGAGGCGCTAGAAGGTCCCACCTGGTACCCATTTTCTGGCAGTGTTGAACAAACTCATGATCACTTGCTTAAGGTTAGACCACATGTATCACATGTGCTTCGCTGAAGTCCAAGGAACTCTCAGGGGTCAGGCTGCCAAACACGGTCACCCGTCCAAGGACTCTCCGCGCTCAACGTTGCTTAACTTCAACTGATTTGTGACCCGAACTCTATACACGACCACACACCGCCATGAGCGATGGGTGGACTCATACAAGCTTTCGATTCCTAAAATAGTTATGCCGTTCCTTGAACAATATGTTGTTCTTTAACATTGCTGAATGAAATGGAACATTCTGTGGAAAAGATTTTGTAAATATTTGTTTGTTTAGAGAATGTATTGAAATGGAATCAGGGTAACACGCATTTTGGAAACAACCGTCAGTAGCGCAGATGTTGGATTTAAAAGTAAAGTGTAGACTGTGTGGGTTGTCGGTTAGTCTAGTGGTTCAAGTCTTCGCTCCATATCTGCAAACAAGTATGTAAAACCCATACTCGCAATGATACATGACTTGACCATTGACGATGGCGGCGTAAAACACTACTCACTCACTCATGGGTGAGTGCACACGTACCTCCATGTCTTCAGTATAAGGGCTCCGTACATGATGCTGAAGCCGCAGTGGAATGGCCAGATCTCTATAGTACAGCTGACATCACTCGGCTCCCTGTACAGCACAAACCCCTGCAACACCACAAGGTGGAAACATGACGTTGGTGACGACAGCTCACGTGTAAACAATCATTGGCAATACAACATGTATACCGACAAAGAACACTGACAATACGACCCATGTGTACAGAACCCTGACTGACTGAGTGAGTGAGTTTGTTTTACGCCGCTTTGAGCAATAATCCAGCAATATCATGGCGGGGAACACCAGAAATGGGCGTACAGAACACTGACAATACAACTAATGCAATGAGAACACCGACAGAACAATGTGTGTAAAGAAAGAGCTCAGGGTCTAGTACCGAAATAAAAGACCTGGCACGATGGTAATTATTGTTACTAACGGGTTCTAAGCTCTATACAAGATCGTAAATCTATACTTTCACAGTTTGGGTGATACATGCTTCCTGTTTCTTACGTGTTGTCCTCCCTCATGCTTAAGCAATGTTCAGAACGGACATTCGTGCGATTTAGTTTTTTCAACATATTCCGACAATTGTTTCACAATCTCTCATCGCTGTAGCCGTAGTAAGCGTGGCTGCAAGGGGTGACGTTGTACATTAGAAACACGTTTACTGTTTAAAGCAGTACCATAAAGTACGATGAACAAGTATCATCCTCCTTTTCCACCGACCGCGATATTCCAGCTATATGGTGGCTTTCTGTAAATAATCGAGCCTGGACCAGACAACCCAGTGATCAACAGTATGAGCATCGATCTACGTAAGTGGGATACGATGACCTGGGTCAACCAAGTCAGCGAGCCTCTTGCGATAAGCATGGGTTGCTGAAGATCAATTCTAACCTGGATCTTTGATTATTTACAGACCGCCGCCATTTAGCTGGAATATTACCGGTGATTTCTTAATCGTTACCTAATAGAATCTAGTTTATATCAAACCCTTTTATACAGTAATATAATGGATATTTTATTCATTTCATTTTGAACATATGCAACAGCAATGTACAGAATGTTCCCATGGATGTTCACAGAAACACGAAGGGTTAATTGTGATATATTGTTTATATTCATAAGCCTTCGCGTTTCCGTAACCAAATCGCAGTTGGTAGTGCATAATTTCTGACAGAGTATAACTGTCCATGCCTACTTTCTGTACCCTGAGTTCGAGATAGCTACGAAACCATTGACGTAAATTTCAATGGATGCCGCAAGCTCCTAGTGTTCATACTATCCCTTTATGCCATACTTTATCAAACACTTTACTGATGTCACAAAATACTGCTCTCACCTCCTAACCATTATCCAATACTATCCAAATAAATTTATAGAGATGTAAGTTGGTAAGCAGAACAATCTCCAAGAATAGCGACAGATTATAAGTTCGTCAATACGTCGTTGTGTTTAATGAAATTAAAAACGTGTTTCAAGACTCGTTTTTAAAAAAACTTCGGTCGGACTACTTTTGCTAATGGTTTATAATTTTGTCACTACACAGCCCATTGTGTGTACTGGTACCACTGAAACTTCTTTCCTGATACTGGGACATTTGCCTTTAGCTGATGGCATATTAAAACGTCATACAAGAGGCCAGATAATTCCAATTAATCTGGTAAATCTGTAACCGAGCTTGTCGTCCCCACTGTCTTTACGCGTGTCATCTAACATTAGCACACTTTTTACTTCTATGCGAGTTGATAATATACTATTTAGGGATCTTCCATTGATTTCACTAATATTAAGGAGTTGTGCAACTTTCTACTTTTCCCTATTCAACACAATAATCCTACATTTGCTATTGTTTCTGCATCACCACACAGCATACGAGGACAAGGCTAACAGGTACGAGTTCGTCTCTTGGTTTTACGTTAACATATTGCTGAATATTTTGTTAAATATAGTAAATATTAAAAAATATTGCACCCTATAATATTGAGTTATTTTTATTCAGAGCAGAATGTATCGAGAGATGTCCACACAGAAATCATTAGCCACTATTATCCGTGCATAAAATAAGCACCACCCTGTATTTTTACCAATTGATTTTGTCTGAAATGAAATTCTAAACTCTTTCCAAAAAATAACCTTTATAATTTGATAAGCATTTAACATCTCAAAAACCAAAACATCATTGAAATTACCATGTAATTTAATTAGGATAATTGCCTATATTTAAAACAGGTGTTATTCTGTCCAAAAACAAGTTACCTTACTTTGAAAAGTGAAAGTAATAATTGATTGTTATGTTGCCTAAAAATTCGTTTTTTACTGTGAATGGATGAAAGTTTGTAAACTAAGATTTAGAAAAAGTTACAGTCAAATTAAAAAAAATAAAATTTTAAAATGCAGTAAAAGTTGCTTTACAAACAAAACAAACAGATTTTAGCTGTAATTATCAATATCCGGCAAGGGGAAGTGTTTATGCAACACAATAAACTCAAAATCATTAAAGATTATTCCCAAATCATATTTAATGTGGCATTTTCCAGTTTTTGTCAATTAGCAATCTGGAATTGTTGGAAAAAGGTCTGAATCTTGATGATTATGCATAATTAAAGCTTACTTGATGTGTAAATGTCATCTTGGTATATAACAGAACTGTGTAGTTTGAGCAGGAGAGGAATAGCTATTTTGGGTAAAAATTCAGCCCCATCACATTTTCATCAACATATTCTTTTATGAAGAATAGAAAAGGTTATGGTATTTGTAAAACTGTAAACACTAACTTTTCTGTAGCATCAGATCTTATTTTCAAAATAGGGTGGTGCTTAATTAATGCACGGGTGTATATATATTCAATTGTCGGCACCAGTCCAGATGACATGAAGCTTGGTCTGTGTTCAGTTCAAACATACCTACTGGTAACAAGCTGGGCAGCCTGGGAGTCATGGGAACCAGTCCGAAAATATAATCCGCCGAAGCCCAGATTCAGATTTATGTTTATCTCTATTGATCTAGCAGTGGTAATGACCATGTTTTGTAACAATACTTTGATGGACGTCAGTGATTATATTTGGACCGGAAATGGGATTGGAACAGTGGGACATACATACAGACATATTGTCTGCTTAATGACTTTATATCGTCTCCTCCATATCTAAGTCGTAATGGAGATGTCCATAACGGTGTCCTTATCTCACAGATTGCCACATATGGACATCAAGGCAGATAGCTATGTTGGCAGGTAGGGTGACATGTGATGATACGTCACCGCTGTTGGTCACCGCTCACTGCAAGGCAGGTAGGGTAGGGTGACATGTGATGATACGTCACCGCTCACTGCAAGGCAGATAGCTATGTTGGCAGGTAGGGTGACATGTGATGATACGTCACCGCTCACTGCAAGGCAGATAGTTATGTTGTTGGCAGGTAGGGTGAAATGATCACACCGCGCTACTGCAAGGGTCATGTGAAACAGTGAAGATATTGGTCGAAATGATTATACCTACTTGTCAAGACAATGATCCTAGGGTAAAGATGATCATAGTAACATAGGGTGGAATATGATCAACCTTTTACGAGAGTAAAATATGATCATACTTACATGGCAGCACATGATGACAGCACCGAGGCACATGAGGTGAAGAAACAAAGGACTGGCTGTTTTGATAACCTGTGAAAAGAAGTATTGTTGAGGAATATTTGGACAGGTCGCGACTACTATCAGTATAACTGCACGTTGTGTCGACCGTAACAAAAAGAAACAATGTTTAACCAAAGTGACTCAAGTTTCCGATTGCATATTCAAACTATATATATAACTGAAAATGTATGTATCCCGACTGCCCTGACTGACACATGGCGTGTATTCCTCAAGTACAGTCATGAGACGTTGGTGCGTGAAAATATGATGAAATGGTGACAATGGTAACAGGGGTGTAGGTGCAGATTGTATGTTGTTTTAAGGTAGGAATATATCTACCATATGGTAATAAACATGATTAAAATAGATTCACTCTGAGTTAACAATACTTAATATCCCTTTCATAGAAAGAAGCATCTACATTGTAAATTGCAAATCGCCCCAGTGAGACGGGAGATTTACAACCCGATCGAAACATACACATGCTTCATTTAGGGTGTTTGCGTTGAATGGAAATTAATATGGCTTAATGAGCGACAAACTACATTGCAAACTGAGGGACTGTATGTTCCCTAGATTGTTGTCAGGCAAGTGTTGTTGCAGTCGAATTGCAATTATGGCGCTCAATTTGAAAACATAAAGTTGATTTGAAACTGAAAGTCATTTTTTTAAAGACCACTTGACCTATGATTGAGGTTTTCAACTTCCTTCATTTCTATGTTAAAGTTGCATTCGGCCAGTCGCCAGATCTGAAGCTGAGGTGAAGGCTGTCAGAACATGGCGGCATTGTCGCTACGGTCATGTTGTCATAATTTAGCTACTTTAACTTTTTAACTTGATGTCACGTGAGTTGAAACTGCTGAATTGATCGGGTTGATCCTTGCCTACAGGCTGTGCACAAATGAATCAGAAAATCCAATAGCTGCAACTGCGGTTATCAACTAGCTGCCTGACACAGCAACAACAGAACATCCTATCTCCACATCTACCCTAGAGCTGGACGTCTACTGCTAGACCCACACTACTCACTGTTGGTGTTTGCTAACAATTACAACAGTTGATAATTCTACGTTTTGCATAGGGGGGTGACCACATGGCCACAATCCGTTGGTAGTAATTTCATGTAATGCTTCGTAAATTACATCAAATGGTTAGGTCCCAAATGTTTCAGTCGATCAGAAATCTGTGTGAAAATTAATGTTGTGCTGTCATTCACCCTATTAAATGTAAGATCATCTCAAACATGTGAAAAGAAAACAACTTGACTTTAGAATACAAAATATTCTTACAGTAACTCATATTTCGGAATTTCGTGGGATCAGTAAGAAATATCGCCCTCGCGATGATATGATATATGTGAAGACACGTATGAGAGAATACTGAAACAATTAGGTAAGCCAGGAACACCTTCATCTGGTGATTTCAGGTATCAAGAGCACTGCAGTTCAATTCTCTATGTATTGCGGGTGACGTTGAAAGTTTAGTGATAAAGGGTTTTCTTTACTACAGAGGCAATATGCCATATTCTTGGAATGTCGAAGACATTCTTCACGAGGTGTCATCGTACAGAGGCGAATTCACGCCATGGAAGAACAACGAGAAGAAAAAAGGCTCTCATTACTCTACCCCATGGCGATGGTCATCCGTCCATCCCACGGTCAAACTTGTCAGCACTGAGGAAGGGAAGGGGTATTTCCGATGACGGGCATTAACAGCTTCCGATACAGGAAACGAGAAGAAAGGTTACTTAGATCAGCATGTGAGGTTTCGTGACAATAACCTGCGCGATGTTTTGTGAGATCAGTGTCAGATAGGTCTATTGTTCAGGGTATAGTACGTTCTAACTAACGACTTATTTTGTTTGAATCAAGTTCCGACGAAGACGGATATGGCAGGAATAGAACAGTGCACTCCGCCTTTAACAGGGTTTATAATGGACGGTTTGTCGCTTTTACTTGCCTGAATGGCTGTATCAGCTGATAGATATGCATTATACGTAATTAAGTCGGACCTTAGGTGTGTATCGCAAACAACAGCAACAACCCAAAAGACAAAGGTGTTATAGTACAAGAGTTTATAAAGCGCCATTAGCTATTATTGCCAGCCTATGGTACTCGGACAGTGCCGTTCTTTTCATATTGCATGGGTTCAGTATAAGTCTGGAATAATATAAAATGATGTCTTGCATCAGGCAGTTCCATCAGTGATGCGCAAGCGTATGTGCGTGTACGTGTGCGTGTGTATCTGTGGTTCAGTGGTACGTTTGATCACAGGTAACACATATGTTTCCCGCGACTCACCTGTTTCATAGTAATACATAAATACGTGCATATGATACAGCCGGAATAGCACCACGGGTAATTTTTACGATTAGGGAACGGGTTTCGTCGTAAATAGAGATATGCCCGCACCCTACATCACATCACTTCTACCTGCTTTGAGCAATCACGCCCTCATACACTTACACATTCATACACAGGTTTTATTCAATGCAAATATCCCAATGACAAAAAGATAACTTCAAATGAGTCAAATCAGGTTGCTGATAAAACGATTGGTAACAACGAAAATGATTGATCCAAAAGGAAAGGATTAAAATCATAGCTGGCAGAAACTGATAACCAGATTATGTCACGGTTGAACTACAGGAACACGGAAAGTGTGGTTTCTGTAAATGGCTAGCTGATCAATACTGCCTCTCTATCACACATACGAGTACACCCACACGTTGTAATACCCGGGGGAGGCATTAGTAACAGCCAACTGAGTTACTCTGATTGTTGCTCCACGGACTTACGCCACATCGTAATACTAAATAATGACATTTTACACGGTTTCCAAACCTGAATGCTGGAACACTACTTCCAAACTGAAGCATGAATAAGTTATATTTCATGAAAGCGAAACAATCCAGAAATGAGATCAATTTATGCTAATGTCGAGAGTGGTTTTATATTGACATTCACACTCAACATGACATTTTAATCGGAGAGCTCTTTAACTCTTGACAAAAGTAGTCTTCTTCACTGTTTGAAACACTACAATGAATGTACGATCGTGGTTTATGAGTCCAGAGATCCCGGCCATTGGTTCTTGGTTCCAGATACAGGGGGGAGGGTTATCCTCGATGTTCCAGTGTTTCACAGGATAAATACCCTGAGTCATTCCTTACATAGTTCACTCTTTAATTCTGTTAGCGTACAGTATATCTATGTATCTTTTCCTTTTTTACATATATTTTTATAATGTTCATGTTTAAAATCATACCCATTTTCTCGACTCATATTCATCAAAGTTTCTCCAAAGAGTTAAACTTCTACAACTCGCGTCTCTTTGGATCTTTGACTCACATCACGCTGACCCGCCGTCAAGATCATACCTTCAATGTTACACATAACACTCACTCTCTCGCCAGTGTTAAATGCACGGACCGATTTCCGTCGTATTTTGCACGGTTTGCGATTTATACGTCATGAACCAAATTTGTATGATGTCCGACAATACAGCCACACAGTGAGAAGCGTGGTTGGCTGAAGACCACGTCTCACCCGAATAGTCACTGGAGAAGCTGCCGGAACTCTCCTTTATATCAGCGTCCTGCACTTGTCGGACCGCATGAAATGCAGCAGTATATAGCTACTGTTTCCCCATCTCCCCCGTGGTCCAGTGGATACTGCGTCTAACCGGACAGAGAACGGTTCGTGGTTCGATTCCTGGCCGTGTCAAACCAAAACAGAGTGAACCCTGCCTGGCGCTCAGCATTTAAGGGACTGAAGAAAGACATTCTACACGAAGTGGTTATATAGGTGCAACTATCTTGAATAAGACGTTAAATAACATTACACCTCACCTAATATTTCGCAGTAAAGTTTGACAGATTGACTCAAGGACAAAGTAACAAGCTAACACTACCGATTATTAAATGATTACTCACCATTTCGTTCCTATTCTTGTGAATAACAATGGCGACGACAGCACATCCTGCGATGATGAAGGCAATAATCAGTAGGACAACCACCCTGAGCGGGACGCTGTAGGGTAGAGGCAGGGGGTGGCGTCCACGCACGTCTCACATCCCCGGGGGCAAAGCAGGCATTGGAAGCGTGGCGTGATGCTGGATTCGTTGTTGAGGTCAATGAAGGATTCAATGTCGTAGCCACTGTAGGCACTTGATGCCGACGAGGTGTTAGGAAAATAGTAACCGTCTTCACAAGCACACTCATATGCTCCACGGCGAAAACCTTCACCAATCAGAGGCTTGCACTGAAGAACAGAAAAGAATCACTTTTGATCAGTTATAAACAACAATAGAAATGAAAACAAATAAAATCGATGGCAAAAATTATCATAATCCAAATGAAAATTAGATAAGATTAGTTAATGTCCCGGAACTTCTGGATGGATAACCAATTAAACGGTGCCCCGAAAGGTTCTCTCCACAGACACGTGATGACGTTGCCCAGTAGCGCTCGCTTATATTTGTTTCCATACACAAGTAACCATTATTGCGGTAATCATGCTCATAGTATACCATGATTCCGAAACTGTGCAAAACTCGATAACAATATCACAGATTTGATATCAACATGGACGCGACTATGTTGCTGTCAAGCTATGTAATACAAAGATTCTTAAAGATGGTCAATAAAAACGAAATAAACGAAAGGGACTTGTGAAAGAATGGTTTCTAATGCCGCTGTCAACAATTCAAGCTACACCACGGTCGCATGTTCATACAGAACTCTGAAGTTAGAGATCAGGGCCTAGATTTTCGAAGCTCTCTTAGCGCTAAGATAGTCGTAAGTGCCATACATTAACATTAACTTACGAATATCTGAACGCTAAGAGAGCTTCGAAAATCTAGGCCCAGTAACTGTCAGTACGTCAGGAGAAAAGATTCAATCATGGCACGATGGCAGACAATGAGACAAGTCAAAGAATCGAAGGAACTCAATTACGTATATGTTACTCGGGATGAGTTTTACTCCCATGGAGAGAGAAGAGTAAAGTTTTATTCATGAATCAGACAACACGTGATGGCTGTTGTGAGCAACGGGTGTACGGAGACAGCAGTCTACCACACTTCACCGCAGTTAACATCACAAAGGCTGACCCCCCTGGACCCACTTGCACACAGCAATCTTAGCGCTACAGTTATTGTAAATCCTTAAGATCGCATTGTATTTATTCGTATTTTAATATTTTCATAAAATATAGGTAGGTATTTCTGTGGTTGCAATATCACATTCTCTGTTCCAAAATCACGACAGTCTGAATGTAGGAAAATATATGCTATCTTCCACGTAATTGTTTGCTTCAAATATTTGTTAGATTTTTTTCATGAAAATTCTGCAAGGTGCGATTGAGGGAGGTATGTGTTGTGTGCCGTGACAAGTTCCACTTTCTAGTTTGCGCTGTAAATAACTGTAGACTGGAGTCGAGTTTAACAAATTCGTACCTCCACCGTTGAAGAGTTCGATCTTAGCTAAGATTGCGATCTTAAATCCATGCCGTCTTACAATCGCAATAAGATCGGCTTTGTGCAACTGGACTTGGACAATTGCATGGTGATTGTAAAGTTGATTGTAGGGGCCTAAGATTGATTGTAACTAAGATTGCTGTCTCTATAAGGTCGCCTCGGACCGCCAGCCCCGGGCACTATGTCGGATTCCGGGGAATCTCTGTACCTGTGTGGTGGGTTGGCAGTTGTGGGTACCACGGAAAACGTCCAGGGCTCCAGACCTATCGTGATCACTGGCGTCACACTGGTTAATGTCGATGTTGGTGAGTTCGATGTCGATTGTGGCCACTCCTCTGATGAAATATACAATAGTATTACAAGTACCTGCTTGTCAGACGTTGATTATTTACAGATGTATCTTAGTGAACACCTAAGATGTTTGCATTTGATGAGCATTGCCCTTTAGATTAAATACCATACTGACATTAAGCCGATCTCTGTAACCTCTGTATATCAAACTTATAACCGCAAAACGGCGTTACATACACATGGAAACAAGTATTGTGCCTGTGCTCGGGGAACATGGATACACAGAGGTGCCTGTGCACGGGGCCCGCACGCGCTTCAGAAAGAGGGAACGCACAGTTCATTTTCACACGCTTTCACGTGAGTTTCAACGGTTATTTAACAAACATTCAGGACAAAGGTCGGGTGGGGTGTGTGGGACACCCCTGAAAACACACACACACACACACACACACACACACACACACACACACACACACACACACACACACACACACACACACACACACACACACACACACCTCTAGATCCGCTTCTTGTTGCTACCACTTAAGCCTAGCATGTTGATTTACAGGTATGAGATGGCCGGGTCACCGTCCCCCCGGTTAGTGTTCGTACTCACTTGAAGACTGTGGCGTTGGTAGAGTCTACTGCGAATATCGGTGCAGAATATGTAACCATCCAGATATCGCCACCACCACAATCATAATACGGGTACGTCCAGCGTCCGTCTTCATACTTGGCAACTGGTTGGCGAATAGGCACTTCTTTTTGGGAGGGATCGGAGAAACTAGAAGTAAAGCGAAGGAACCAGAGAAACTATGATACAAAACCTATAGATAATTGCATGGCTGGTCAATAATGGAAAAAAGCATTGAAGCATGGATAAAAGACGGATGGCGAGAGATGGATGGATGGGCAGGGAGTCCTATACTATGGCAGCTGGTCTTGCCTTGAGTTTACTCATGTTTGGGGTCGTTTCATCATTTATATTTGGTCATTTATCCATCCATCCATCCAGTCCCATCCATCCATCCATCCAGTCATCCATCCATCCACCCATCCATCCAGTCATCCATCCATCCATCGATCCATCCATCCATCCAGTCATATCCATCCATCCATCCAGTCATCCATCCATCTATCCAGTCATCCATCCATCTATCCATCCATTATCCATCCAGTCATCCATCCATCCATTATCCATCCACCCATCCATCCATCCATTATCTATCCAGTCATCCATCCATCCATTATCATCCAGTCATCCATCCATCATCATCCATCCATTACCCATCCATCCACGTGTCCATCCAGGCACAGTCATCAATCCATCCATTATCCATCCAGTCATCAATCCATCCATTATCCATCCAGTCATCCATCCATCCATTATCCATCCATCCATTCATCATCCATTACCCATCCATCCATATATAGGATCAAGAATGAATGTACATATATTGAGCTATAGGATTTCGGTGATGAAATTGTTACAAGGAGTACAACTACTGCAATCGACCTACCATAAACTCGTGTGTAGCTAAGTGGCCCACCTGCGGTATGTGACAAAACGTGCACCCGCTATAGATGGCTAATTGCTCAGCATAAGTTTTAGATCTTCCTCAGTTTAACCATGAAGGTCTGTAGAACAAATACATAAGCGTCTGTCTCGAAACCACGGGCCACTAATGGATTAGACACATGGCCTCTTTCATCTCGGTCTGAACATTTTCAGTACAGACAAGAGATTCCACGATTTTCATTGTGGGTAAACCAGCAAAGGTCAAGTTGAAAGAGATCCACTTTTTATAGGTGTTTCATTAGGGATTTCAATTACAAGGGGTTCATAAATGTTGTACTTTGCATTTTGGTAAAAGTAAGTGAATGATTCCAAAATGTCAAAGACAAACCAAGTATCACTCACTCATCCATTCACCAACTAATCCATTCTCTCACTCACCCATTCCCTTCCTCACTCACTGTAAAGACCTACTTGAAAGTAACGGTGTCGATGTGGACGGAAGCGTTGGAGAAATCCTTAACTCTGACACCGTGGTACCATTCTGTGCTGTTGTCGAGGTAGTTGTAATGGACGGCGATGTCGAAGGCAACGACTGAGTCCTGTTTCTTGTGAGCATACGGACAGTAGCGAGCATATTTATCATAAACCCCGGGTTCCAGTGCAATGGCGGAACCGAAGATGAGCGAATCACCGTGGACATTGTTGCGTACAAACGAGTAGAACATGGCGTCATCGAAGCGGTTCAGCGTATTATCATCCATCACAAGGACCTGCAAACAAACCAGTGTTTATATCTATACTGTACGTTTTTCATGAATTAATTCATCCACTCCTGAGGCCTGCATTATTTCGGACTTTCTTTTCACAGTGAGCTGATACACTGTGACACACCGGGATTACTGCAACAGTTTTACGCCGCTTTCAGCAATATTCCATCAATATCACGGCAATATTATGGGATTCATAAATTGTACCCATGTGGGGAATCGAAGCCGGGTCTTCGGCGTGACGATTGAACCCTTTAACCACTTACCTACCCCAACGCCTCCTTTCCGTAAACGTCCGCCCGGAGAGCGGAAGGTCGCGGGTTCGATCCCCGACCGCGTCATACCAAAAGACGTTAAAATATGGTACTTGTTGGTCCTGCCTGGCGCTCGGCATTAATGGGTACAACAAGGACTGGTCGGCTCGGAGTCAGTATAATGTGTCCGAGTGGGGCATTCCTGCTTCACTGCGGCATGGTATCTCAGTGGGCTAGCACTATAAAACCAGCTTCAGTCTGGGCTAGTACAAGCAGCCGCACATCCACATACACACGCATGCACGTCGTCATATGAGCGAAATATTCTCAAGCACGACGTTAAACCGAATTTCACCTCACCTCACCTTTCCGTAAACGATGAGTATATAGCCGCTAGAGCTAGCTTGAGTTAACACGCCCGGCAATTCCTAGCCACATAACATCGTGACGGACACAGAATGAGCTTCACGCATTGTACCTATCTGGGGACTAAGAGCCAAGACTGGAACAACCTGTCTATTCAACTACCCCTTTCAAATAGTAAGTGTAGCTTTTGGTTTGAGGATGTTATGTTTTAGAGATGTTTGAATGAACGGTTGAACAACAATACGTAACACTTAACATGTAATACCTCTTGAAATGAGCATATGTTACCTTGCTTAAGTAGTTGGCTGTCCTTATAGCGGGGTCGGTGTAGGTAATCCAGGCAGTGTGGTTAAACGCGAGGGTGAGCGTCTCCTCCGTCCCACCCCCACACTTGCTGGACTCCACCCTGCTGACATACTCCAGGGCCTGCTTTGCCTCTCGGAGTCGGTCTGGGGGAAAATACACATCCTCGTCATATAGGTGGTAGCATCATGGAGAAATATATATCATCGTCATATTGGTGGTCACGTCATGGAGAAATATATATCATCGTCATATTGGTGGTCACATCATGGAGAAATATATATCATCGTCATATTGGTGGTCACATCATGGAGAAATATATCATCGTCATATTGGTGGTCACATCATGGAGAAATATATATCATCGTCATATTGGTGGTCACATCATGGAGAAATATATGTCATCGTCATATTGGTGGCCACATCATGGAGAAATATATCATCGTCATATTGGTGGTCACGTCATGGAGAAATATATCATCGTCATATTGGTGGTCACATCATGGAGAAAGCTATCCTCGACATATTGGTGGTCACATCATGGAGAAATATATCATCGTCATATTGGTGGTCACATCATGAAGAAATATATATCATCGTCATATTGGTGGTCATCATGGATGGAGATTGGTGGTCAATAGAAATATATCATCGTCATATTGGTGGTCACATCATGGAGAAATATATATCATCGTCATATTGGTGGTCACATCATGGAGAAATATATCATCGTCATATTGGTGGTCACATCATGGAGAAATATATCATCGACATATTGGTGGTCACATCATGGAGAAATATATATCATCGTCATATTGGTGGTCACATCATGGAGAAATATATATCATCGTCATATTGGTGGTCACATCATGGAGAAATATATATCATCGTCATATTGGTGGTCACATCATGGAGAAATATATCATCGTCATATTGGTGGTCACATCATGGAGAAATATATATCCTCGTCATATTGGTGGTCACATCATGGAGAAATACATATCCTCGTCATATTGGTGGTCACATCATGGAGAAATATATATCCTCGTCATATTGGTGGTCACATCATGGAGAAATATATATCATCGTCATATTGGTGGTCACATCATGGAGAAATATATCATCGTCATATTGGTGGTCACATCATGGAGAAATATATATCATCGTCATATTGGTGGTCACATCATGGAGAAATATATATCCTCGTCATATTGGTGGTCACATCATGGAGAAATATATATCCTCGTCATATTGGTGGTCACATCATGGAGAAATATATATCCTCGTCATAATGGTGGTCACATCATGGAGAAATATATGTCATCGTCATATTGGTGGTCACATCATGGAGAAATATATATCCTCGTCATATTGGTGGTCACATCATGGAGAAATATATATCATCGTCATATTGGTGGTCACATCATGGAGAAATATATATCCTCGTCATATTGGTGGTCACATCATGGAGAAATATATCATCGACATATTGGTGGTCACATCATGGAGAAATATATCATCGACATATTGGTGGTCACATCATGAAGAAATATATATCATCGTCATATTGGTGGTCACATCATGGAGAAATATATATCATCGTCATATTGGTGGTCACATCATGAAGAAATATATATCATATTGGTGGTCATGGAGAAATATATCATCGTAATATTGGTGGTCACATCATGGAGAAATATATCATCGTCATATTGGTGGTCACATCATGGAGAAATATATATCCTCGTCATATTGGTGGTCACATCATGGAGAAATATATCATCCATATTGGTGGTCACATCATGATAATGGTGGTCAATCATGGATATATCAACGTCATATTGGTGGTCACATCATGGAGAAATATATCATCGTCATATTGGTGGTCACATCATGAAGAAATATATATCATCGTCATATTGGTGGTCACATCATGGAGAAATATATCATCGTCATATTGGTGGTCATCATGGAGAAAATATATGTCATCGTCATATTGGTGGTCACATCATGGAGAAATATATCATCGTCATATTGGTGGTCACATCATGGAGAAATATATATCATCGTCATATTGGTGGTCACATCATGGAGAAATATATGTCATCGTCATATTGGTGGTCACATCATGTCATATTGGTGGTCACAGAAAATATATATCCTCGTCATATTGGTGGTCACATCATGGAGAAATATATATCCTCGTCATATTGGTGGTCACATCATGGAGAAATATATATATCCTCGTGATAATGGTGTCATATTGGTGGTCACATCATGGAGAAATATATCATCGTCATATTGGTGGTCACATCATGGAGAAATATATGTCATATATTGGTGGTCACTCGTATATATCATTGTCATATTGGTGGTCACATCATGGAGAAATATATATCCTCGTCATGGTGGAAATATATCATCACATCATGGAGAAATATCTCATCGTCATATTGGTGGTCACATCATGGAGAAATATATATCATCGTCATATTGGTGGTCACATCATGGAGAAATATATCCTCGTCATATTGGTGGTCACATCATGGAGAAATATATATCCTCGTCATATTGGTGGTCACATCATGGAGAAATATATATCCTCGGCATAATGGTAGTCACAACATGGAGAAATATCTACCCAAGTCCAACGCGGTTACAACATAGATGCATATATACACTCTGGACACACTTTTTCACAACATGGAGAAAATCTATTGAATTTCATAATATGTATTTACATTATCACATCAGTGTGTGCAAACCAGGCCTTGTCCAACATTCCAATGTATTTCTGTCCCACACAGTAAACATCGCCATAGAAGTGTATTTCAAAGTTTTGAAGCGATGACAGCGCGTGTTTTTTTAAACATTGTTTGGATGTTATGGCGTTATCTTTAGCAGTAGTCATTATTGGGTCCCAAAGACTGGCGTTTCCCATGCGAAACTGCCATACTGAATAGAGATGTCGTTCCACAGACGCGCAACCAGGAAGCATCGGCCTCGGCACACCTCTTGCATTGCATGAGGCGCACAATGTCACTATTGGAACAAAAGCGACCAAGCATTTTCCATTTATCCGGTACAACAGTTTTACATGGATGCGATCAATGAGGAGGTCTAGCATGAACTTCACACAGTGTTTTCAAAGTTTTCTTCAGATGACACTTGATTTAATGTTTGTCATATTGTCGTGAACCTCTAAAGATAGACCAACGAAGGACTGACTGACTGAGTTTAGTTTTACGCCGCTTTTAGCAATATCCCAGCAATATCACGACAGGGGACACCAGAAATGGGCTTTACACATTGCACCTGGGCGGGGCCTAGTTCATCGATTTTCTGACCTGCAGTAGGGGCCTATGTACCCCACCGCCCCTCAAAAGAAGGACGTTTTGGTATATTGGGTAGTTGTGTAGAAAGTTGACAGATACAACAAATGTTGACAGAAATTAAGTTGGGTTTTTCTGAAATTGCTAAACAAGACCTGGGCAGGGTGGACACATAGGTGGACGGACAAGCAAAGGACAACAAATAACGATATAGGTGAGGAGAGCTTACATTGGTTTCTTCCGGGATGGGTGAGTGAGTGAGTTAAGGTTTACGCCACACTCAGCAATATTCCAGCTATATGGCGGCGGTCTGTAAAAATTCGAGTCAGACAATCCAGTGATCAACAGCATGAACATCTCTCTGCGCAATTAGGATATGATGACATGTGTCAACCAAGCTTGCGAGCCTGACCACCTGATCCCGTAAGTCGCCTCTTACGACAAGCATGGGTTACTGAAGACCAATTCTAACCCGGATCTTCACGGGTTCTACCGGGATGATAACCTGCATATTGAGTATGTGAAGCCTTAATTTCACCGTGATTTACGGAGTAACTACAACCATACAATCGTGCTACATTGTGTTTACTTGTCGGGAATTAATCTGCAGGTATGGCACACTATCTTACTACATAATGCAAACTTCATTCGCCACACGATAACTAAATCAATTAAACTGGAATCCGCAGTAACTGGTTCGTCGGTAAATATACTCTCCCAAAAAAGAAACGCATCATGAAAATAGCAATTTCATGTAGCAATGAATTAAAACGTGATTCATTTTACAAAAGGTTTTGCCCTGTTTATGAGTCCTATGGTGTTTATGTTTTGAAGCATCACAACAAAACGCACCATCCGTAAAATACCCGTATTTAACAGCATGATTTTCAATTTCGGCGTGTAGTGTCACAGAATACACAATTCACATGCAATGCACGTGAAAGTTGGGGATCAGATAGTCTCAATGATTGGTATAAAAGGTTGATCGCTGTATTTCGAATATTGTATTGTTGACGAACGCAAAATGCCTCGTCTAAGTGAAGCCAACCGTCATATCGCCATTGGTTTGCTTGAAGCTGGCCAGTCTCAACGTGCAGTTGCCCGACGCATGAATGTTCACCAAAGCACCATTACACGGCTCTGGGAGAGATATCGCCGGCAGAATTCGGTAGCAGATGCCCCTCGTAGTGGGCGACCTCGAGCGACCACTGCGGCGCAGGATCGCTACATCCGGGTACATCACCTGCGTCATCGAACAGCTACGGCGACCAGTACCGCTCGACAAATACCCGGATTGAGGAGGCTTTCTGCACAGACCGTCAGGAACAGGTTGAGAGAGGCTGGTTTACGTGCCAGAAGACTTTATTTTGGCCCTGTTCTTCGACAACAACATCGTCGACATCGAGTTCAATGGTGCACCAACGTTCAGGCCTGGAACCTACCGAATTGGCGTAGAATCTGGTTCAGTGATGAATCACGATTTCTATTAGAACGACGCGATTGAAGAATGCGGGTGTACAGACGTCGACGCTTGCGTTCCCCAGGTGGACAGATTTGGCCGGGAAAGTGTTATGATGTGGGGAAATCACCTGTCGTAGGAGAAGTGATTTGGTGATGATCCAGGGCAACCTGACAGCTCAACAGGACAATGCCAGGCCCCACACAGCACGTCACACTAGACACTTCCTCCAAAACGACAACATCAATGTGCTCCCCTGGCCCCGCAAGATCACCGGACTTAAACCCGATCGAACATCTGTGGGATGCCCTGGACAGACGGGTGCGACGCCGTAACCCTCAGCCCCAGACACTTC